ATTGCTGGCTGTTTCATTTCTGGCTAGACAGAGGACAATTGACTTCTGCTGCTTTGCTGTGTGAGGTAGACTGCTCATTTTAATTTTGATTTTTCAGGTTTACAACCACTTTAGGGATTCATAATATATGAAATATATGGAGAAAATCCACCAGAGGGGTCATGATAACACCCTCTTTTGACTTTATAATGGTTGAAAGACAGCAGAAAATACGGTGAAAATATATAGTAGCTACTGTAGACTCCAAAAAAATTGAGTAAAAGATCAGCGTGTGATTGAACACACGATTATCCACCCAAAACTGAAACCTCCATAGTTGGTGGATTCTGCCTTACACATTTTGAATATGGTTAGTTTCGGGAAGAATCCTTCAAATCTAGGGTAAGATGGCTATTTAATTATTATTATACTGATATTAAACACATTTTCAATTATACTTCTTTACTTCTCAGTCTTCTGTCTCTTGCTCCCATATCTAGCAGACACAACATTAATGAATGATGAGTTGTTCACCACTCCATATGCTTCATCAGAATTCCCAGTGTGGTTTGCACCTCAGTAAAATCCATAGCAATTAAAATGACAGCACATTTAAAAAGCCTATAACTTCAAAGCAACTTAACTGCAAAATACATGAGTGTAACAAATATTACTAACTTTATTCTGCACAGCTAAATGCAAATGTATTTAATACTCAGAATAAACATTAAACAGCTTTTCAAAATATTAGATCTTGTATAAATTTCAAAATTAATAAAGCAGCAATAAATATGTCATGCGCATCACAGCAATTTAAACACATTAATTCAGAAGTGAAGGAGATCTCTTAAATCTGAGTGCTCATTAAACTCACTAGGGATTTGACATAAAATCCAGAAAGTTCCTAATGTGCTTCCTGTCCTAATATTAAGACTGACACTTTTTAATTTGTACATATTTAAATAGGGTGGAAGTAAATCATATAGATAGATAATATGTACGATTTCCTTCTGAATGCAGCTAATAAATTATAACAATGGGTAATTCCATGTCTTTTTGGTCTAGTCATATCATTTTTAGCCTTTCTTCCTCCTATATTTAGTCATATATTATATTCTGCTGCAGTTATCATACTTTTTCCCCTAGTGACTGTGTAATAACATTTTATATAAAAGAATAATAATAATAATAATAATAAAGTAAAAAGTACCCATGGAGAAGTATAGATTTTTTAAAATGTGTTTTCTCTGTCTCAAATCCAGCAGTCTTTTATGGACATTCTTTCTGATTCCAACCTGCAGGACTGGGTCAAATACATGGGAAAGTAATTTTCCATTAGCTGATCATACTACAAGTTTTCTTACATTCAAAAGAAGCTGATGTCTAAGACTAGTCATGCAGCCCTAAATATGAAAGAGGCTACATCTCACTAAGAAAAGCAAAAGAGTACTGCAGGTATAAACAGTGGGGACCTACAGTAGAGGAACCTCTGCAAATTTTCAGAAGCTTTGAAAAGTCTTAAGCCATGGTTCACACCAGTGCGACTTCAGGTGCGACATGTGATTTACAATTCACACCTGAAGTCACATCTAATGTATTTCTATGGCACCGTTTTAATTGGTGCGATTTGAAGTAACACGATTTCAAAAATAGTTCCTGCACTACCTTTTTCCGATTTCATTGTGATCCGCATTGACTTCTGTTAAATGAAGTTGCAAGCCACAGTGAAATTGGAGGTTGCAGCTTGCAATTCAAGTGAAGTAGCGCAATTTCAAAGTTGCATTCAGTGTGAACCAGGGGCTAAACTATGGTTGAATGATGGGTCATTCTGAAAGGCAAAGTTCCACAAGTGCCTTATAGTGCTAAAGCATGACCAGCCTTCCCTATCTCCTGTACATTACTTATTGGCCAGTGATGCAGTCCATCATTGTGATGGGCCAATAAGAATGCAAGGGAGCAGGACCACCCAGAAACGTTGGAGCTTGACTATAAGAATGACCTGGCACCTGTCTTTATCTACAGGCTTTTGTGCCTTGCAATGCACATGCACGGGATTTTGGCAATTGCTGACAGGAAGGGCAGAAATAAAATACATTACAGATGTTGAACGCAGCAGCTCACATGGTGCCAGCTCTGGACTGGAAATTTTTGCAACAAAATATGCTGCAGAAAAGTAAGACAAAACCAAAAAACTCTACATGTGATGGTGCTGACCAATCAAAAGCTCTCTAGACCGAACTGTCATCCCTGCAAGGAGAGGAGAAAAAGCCACAGGGATTTGAAATCCCTGCTGCTTTTTCTCCTCTCCTACTGCTGAGAATATGGAGCATCTGCTTCCATAGTTTACATTCCCACACGCCAACTCTCCGCTCAGCATAAGATCCATGCAGAGATGTTTCCCGCACCATTCCTGTGTGAACTCAGGCTATGGCAAGCCTGGGTTCACACAGGAGCAGTGGGGAAACTGCATGCAATTTGGCCAGGATTCATATTCCTGTTCAAATTGCATGCTAATTTTTGCAGTCCAATTTGTATTGACGCAAATCGCACTGCAAAGTATCGGTTTCTGATATCGGGAGCATTTTCATGAGTACTTGTGAAAATACTCGGTATTGGTGCATCCCCTAGGCTATATAATTTACTAGAGCCAAATAGATTGTTCACTTTTCAAGGGAATCTCTCAAGAGCTTAGTAAATGAGGTAATACTCTGTTGACTTCCATCATCCAATCATGTACAAGCAGAAATACTTTTTTTAAAAAAAATGTTTGCATGTGATTGGGTTTTTTTTTCAGAGTGAATATTCAGCACATTCACTAAGCTATAGGAAAATTCTCCTGAAAAGTGAAAATTTTCTTGCAAAGTGAACAGTCTAGTATTTACAATGCATGCATTTTCTTTTTTTTTTTATAACCAGTTTACATTTTTCAACATGAAACCTCATTTTCCACATAGTTGTCCAATTACATAGTGCATTGAGGTCGGCTTGATAGTTGGAGACACCCTTTAAGGATATTATTTCACTGCATAGCTTGGTGTCATCTGCAAAAACTGAAATGGTACTTTTAATCCCATTCTACATATCAGTCAGCTTAAAGATGTATCTTTAAAGTTGTTGCACTGTTGGAAAACCCTATACTGTATGTAACACCCCTAAAATCGAATAAAAGTGCTAATAGAAATATTATCAATAGTATTAGATTACTATCAATTCAAATGTGACAAGAAAGTACCAAAACAAACACAATTCATAACAATGTTAATAAATACATAAAAAGTAAATAATACATAATTTCATATATCGAAGTGAAAGTCTAATCTCCCAACAGGTGTAAAACAATCCCTGCTCAATTCATGCAGCTGATCATTTCAAATCCATTGTGGTGGTGTATAGAGCCAAAAATGTTAGAATTGTGTTGATGTCCCAATATTTATGGACCTGACTATATATGCCTTTAGTAAATCAACCTCAAAATCTCTTTAAAAATCAATGAAATTTGCACTCCACTTTTCTTCCAATCCCTTCCTCACCCTCCTCAATGCACTAAAAACAGAATTCCTTAAATTACATCAAATCCTGCTTTTCAGGTGCTTGTTTTATGTTGCTTTACTATTTTGCATACACTGAATCAAATTCTGAAAGGATAGAATCTGGCAAACTGTTGACATATTTTTGAAAAAGCAAATGTTGAGGATGTTACTCTTATCCTTTCTATATCATCTACTGAGTCACTGCCCAAGGACAGCGATGTCCATAACAGGAGTTGACACACCTAGCATGTTGGCCGTACTAAATGAGAGATTTATTGATGGAGAAATTATCTGTCAATGACAGATATTATGCCATATCAAAAGAATTTTAGAAGTGTGATTTAAATTGACAAAATATGCTCCAAGAAGAAAATCTAAAGAAAACAAGCAATAGGTAAACATGCATCTTCATTTTCTTCTATACCTGAAGTAAAGCTTAACACTGTAATTTAGGACAATGTCTGTGAAAATTCAGCACTACAGCAGTGGAAAGAGCAGTAAAATCAGCCATTCTCTAAGAAGATGTAGGGAAACAACAGCTGCTTTCAATAAATATATATTTAATTAACCATTTTTATATAAAATGTACTGTTTTCTCAATTAATGACAACTTTTTTTAAATAGTTTAAAAAGTACCACATAACTTGTATATTATCATTGTGCTATGTGCTCTTCAAACTTGTGTACAACAAACATAAAACAATGTTTTCTTTCCTTTTCTTTTCAGTCTGTCATGTTAGGAAGTAACACTTTCTCAACACATTCTAGCAGAAGTACCCCATTTCTTCTTTTTTGCTTGAGGAAAAATCCAGCGATTCATGCAAGCCATCTGGTCTTCTAGTATCTGCTTATTAGCGATTGCAGAGGTGGGTTTATTAACCAGGGACAGCATCGGAACTCACAAGAATATGCTTTATGTGTAACATATGGCTGTAAGCCAATGTGCTAATCATGATTGCCTCCGAAGTGGTTCTAATCATCTGTAGGAGACTGTATCGTCTCTTATGATGTTTGAACAAGCTGGTTGTTTAGACCATGTTTTGTAAGAGATATTTGTAGTCATAATTTCTCTAAACAGGTTAAGACAAACATTACAAAAATCAGCATATTAATTTGCAGCGCTTGAAATTAGAATTATAAACATTGGAGGCCTAATCTGCTAGAAAGAAGCCAGATGTTTTAATAATGAGAACATTATTTGGAAGAAACAATAAAAAAAATAACAGCTAATTAGTATTGCTTAACTAAGAGAAAGGCAGACAATTTTTTTTTTTTTTTAAAGGACTTAGCACTCTACATTGTTGTCTTGGCTATTTTTCTAGACCTGTAGTGAGGGCACTGAAAAAATATCTTCATGGCTTGAGTACATTTCCAAGATGCTCCCATAGTTTTGGAAAATATGCTCTTTAAGATGTAGGTAGGAAAGCAAGCACTGACCTTTTAAATTATGGAGGTTTGGGGGAATTTTGCTTGATGAGAAAATGTACAAACATTTTGTGGAAACATTAAAATCTCAGGGTTTTTTTTATGCCATCTGTGTCCCCACTAGGTAGGCTCAGCCCTTTATTTGTCATGGTGTATATTGACGTTAAGATGGAAAGTGATGAAAATTCAAATTGTTACCAAAACAAGAGTTGGGGATATATCTTTCAATGTGAACATGTACTGATGAGAACTGTCTAAAGCAGGCCGTTGATGATGTGATTTTTAACCATGGGCTGCAGGAAATAAAATCACTTGATTCCCCCTTCAACACAGTCAGTGTTGACTTATTTTTATTTATTTTATTACAGGGACTACAGCCACCAATTGTGCAAGTTCTCCCACTTAAAAAGATGAGAGAGGCCTGTAATTGGCATCATAGGTAGACCTCAACTATGAGAGACAAAATGAGAAAAAAAATCCAGACAATCACATTGGCTAATTTGGAAAGAATTTATTTGCAAATTATGGTGGAAAATAAGTATTTGGTCACCTACAAACCAGCAAGATGTCTGGCTCTCACAGACCTGTACCTTCTTCTTTAAGAGGCTCCTCTGTCCTGCACTCATTACCTGTATCAATGGCACCTGTTTGAACTTGTTATCAGTATAAAAGACACCTGTCCACAACCTCAAACAGTCACACTCCAAACTCCACTATGGTGAAGACTAGAGAGCTGTCGGACACCAGAAACAAAATTGTAGACCTGCACCAGGCTGGGAAGACTGAATCTGCAATAGGCAAGCAGCTTGGTGTGAACAAATCAACTGTGGGAGCAATAATTAGAAAATGGAACACATACAAGACCACTGATAATCTCCTCGATCTGGGGCTCCATGCAAGATCTCACCCCGTGGGGTCAAAATGATCACAACGGTGAGCAAAAATCCCAGGACCACACTGGGGGACCTAGTGAATGACCTGCAGAGAGCTGGGACCAACGTAACAAAGGCTACCATCAGTAAAACACTACCCCGCCAGGGACTCAGATCCTGCAGTGCCAGACGTGTCCCCCTGCTTAAGCCAGTACATGTCCAGGCCCATCTGAAGTTTGCTAGAGAGCATTTGGATGATCCAGAAGAGGATTGGGAGAATGTCATATGGTCAGGTGAAACCAAAATAGAACTGTTTGGTAGAAACACAACTCGTCGTGTTTGGACGAGAGAGAATGCTGAGTTGCATCCAAAGAACACCATACCTACTGTGAAGCATGGGGGTGGCAACATCATGCTTTGGGGCTGTTTCTTCTCCGCAAAGGGACCAGGACGACTGATCCATGTACAGGACAGAATGAATGGGGCCATGTATCGTGAGATTTTGAGTGCAACCTCTTTCCATCAGCAAGGGCATTGAAGATGAAACGTGGCTGGGTCTTCCAACATGACAATGAACCAAACATACCGCCCGGGCAACGAAGGAGTGGCTTCGTAAGAAGCATTTCAAGGTCCTGGAGTGGCCTAGCCAGTCTCCAGATCTCAACCCCATAGAAAACCTTTGGAGGGAGTTGAAAGTCCGTGTTGCCCAGCGACAGCCCTAAAACATCACTGCTCTAGAGGAGATCTGCATGGAGGAATGGGCCAACATACCAGCAACAGTGTGTGCCAACCTTGTGAAGACTTACAGGAAACATTTGACCTCTGTCATTGCCAACAAAGGATATATAACAAAGTATTGAGATGAACTTTTGATATTGACCAAATACTTATTTTCCACCATAATTTGCAAATAAATGCTTTCCAAATCAGCCAATGTGATTGTCTGGATTTTTTTTTTTTTCTCATTTTATCTCTCTAGTTGAGGTCTACCTATGATGCCAATTACAGGCCTCTCACCTTTTTAAATGGGAGAACTTGCACAATTGGTGGCTGACTAAATACTTTTTTGCCCCACTGTATATATATATATATATATATATACTTCTCAAAAAAATTAAAGGAACACTTTGAAAACACATCAAATCTCAATGGGGAAAAATCTCATTCTGGTTGTCTATACTGACTGGGTAATGTGTTAGGAACGTAAGGACTGAATTCAAAGACACCCCGAAAATCAAAGTGAAAAAATGATGCAGCAGGCTTTTCCATTTTACTGAAATTTCATTGCAGCAATTCATAATGGTACTCCCCCATGCTTGTAAGCATGCCTAACAACATCGGGGGCATGCTCCTAATGAGATGACAGATGGTGTCCTGGAGTATTTCCTTGCAGATCTGGACCAGGGCATCACTGAGCTCCTGGAAAGTCTGAGATGCAATCTGGCAGCATAAGATAGACCGAAGAATGATATCCCAGAGGTATTCTATTGGATTTAGGTCAGACGAGCATGGGGGCCATTCAATGGTATCAATTCCTTCATCCTCCAGGAACTGCCTGCATACTCTTACCATATAAGGCCAGACATTGTCGTGCAATGGGAGGAACCCAGAACCCACTGCACCAGCGTAGGGTCTGACAATGGGTCCAAGGATTTCATTCCAATACCTAATAGCAGTCAAAGTGCCATTGTCTAGCCTGTAGAGGTCTGTACATCGCTCCATGGATATGCCTCCCCAGACCATCATTGATCCACCACCAAAACGGTCCTGCTGAATGATGTTACAGGCAGCCTAAAGTTCTCCATGGCTTCTCCAGACCCTTTCACGTCTGTCACATGTGCTCAGGGTGAACCTGCTCTCATCTGTGAAAAGCTCAGAGCACCAGTGGCAGACCTTCCAATTCTTGTGTTCAATGGTAAATGCCAATCATGCCAGGCAGTGAGCACAGGGTCCACTAGAGGATCTTGGGCCCTCAGGCCACCCTCATGAAATCTGTTTCTGATTGTTTGGTCAGAGACTTTCACACCAGTGGCCTGCTGGAGGTAATTTTGTAGGGCTCTGGGAGAGCTCATCCTGTTCCTCCTTGCACAAAGGAGCAGATACCGGTCCTGCTGATGGGTTAAGGTCCTTCTACGGCCCTGTCCAGCTCTCCTAGAGTAACTGCCTGTTTCCTGGAATCTCCTCCATGCTCTTGAGACTGTTCTGGGAGACACAGAAAACCTTCTGGTAATGACACATATTGATGTGCCATCCTGGAGGAGTTGGACTGCCTGTGCAAGCTCTGAAGGGACCAGCTATCAGCTCATGCTACCAGTAGTGACACTGACCCTAGCCAAATGCAAACTAGTAAAAAAACTGTCAGAAAAGATGAGTAAGGAAACAAATTTCAGTGGCCTCCACCTGAAAAACCATTCCTGTTTTGGGGGTCATCTCATTGTTGCCCATCTAGTGCACCTGTTGTTAATTTCATTACCACCAAAGCAGCTGAACCTGATTAACAACCTACTTAACTGACCAGATCAATATTCCTGGAGTTTAATTGACTTGATGCTATACTCTGATTGATTTTGAGCAGTGTATATTGTACATTCACATTAGTCCCTAACCCTCAAGGAGTGTACAATCTAAGGTCCCTAACTCACATTCATACATATACAGTACTAAAGCCAATTTAGACAAGATCCAATTAACATGCCAGCATGTCTTTGGCGTGTGGGAGGAAATCAGAGTACCTGGAGGAAACTCGCACAGGGAGAACATGCAAACTCCAGGCAGGCAGTGCCACGGCTGAGATTCAAACTAATGACCCTAGTGCTGCCAGGTGGAAGTGCTAACCATTTAGCCACTGTGCTACCCCACAGAGCTATTGTGCTCCCCTGTCAGGGGCACAGGGAGCCATGCCTGCTGGAAGAACACAGTGATTGATACTAGCGGCTATAGCCACTGGCAATAATCGAATGCTAGAAATCCAACGATAGAATGATCAACTTGGGTACAATCTCAGTAACCACTGAATCTGCCAAGATTCGAACAATCCATGGCCGGCTTAAGAGTAGAATTTCCATCCCCATGTAGAGACTTCTCATTGCTTCTTGTTGCTTTTTAGGGAAAGGATGTGGGTAGAAATCTCCCAACAGCGTACAAACAGCAAGAGATAAAAAAAAATGTGAAGTGCAGTGCTAAACATAATAAAATGATGAACGCATATTAAAAAAATGATATAATACAACATGTCAAATGAATATCCATGAAAAATAATGGTGTAAACCAAAATTAATTAAATATGTGTTGAAATTATGTACACCCACTACCGTAAAGTGCTCTTGCCTGTAGCAAAATAACTCCAATCAATAAATACCATCACCGTCTCCTAGTGAATTGAAAACTCACCAGAAATGATGGCTGCCACTACAACAGCATAAACGCCCATATAAGCAGAAACACATATATCTTGATGTGAGACTCTGTGTATATGTGTCATTCTTTCTTTCCAGGCTGTGGTGAAATAAAGCTTGCCAGGAGCAAAATATACTTCCAATAGTGTAGTATTTATCAGAATACATGTGAATACAAATGCATAAAAAGCCGAAAAGCATATAGCAAAAAAAAATGTCAGCTTACATGAACGCCCGCTGCTGACCCGGGATCATGCAGTGGTGTGACATCAACACTGTAAACTCCACCCCAACATGTTTCATCCAATAGGACATTATCAAGGGGTAATGCAGTGTTGACGTCTCACATATTTATATAGTATCGCATATCTGCCTTCTTACTGTCAATCAGGGACCTGAACTGCAAAGTATCCATCTTGGAAACTCTGCAAGTGGTGATACCACCATGTTTAAAATGGTCATTATTGGATATCTAACCTGGATCGGATGTAAGTAGCCCCCAGTGGGTAAATTATCTACATAAATGGAAGCTAAAAACAGGTCATCCTGAAAAGGACAAAACCCACCGAGGGAGGCTCTATGTCCGAAAATATAATTTACAAAAAAATTTATATTTATTAATATAATACGAACAGGTAAAAATTTAAAGTTATAAAAAGTATATCAATAAAAATGGGACTATCAATGCCAAAAAAATAATAAGAGACCGTGAATGTTTCACTATAAAGACATGACATTCCAAAAAAAATTATACAGCATTGTAAAAAAGACCTCTAGTACAAAATGGTGAAGGGTCCCTAAATAAATAAAATCACAGAAAGCATAAAATAACAAATATGGGTTAAAATAGAAATTCTTTTCATTTTTATTTAGTATCTATAAAACA